TATGTGCCAGGTCCTGTCCGAGGGAAACTCCTGGTGCAGGTACCAGGCAGGTGGACGCCAGCTGCAGCCACCACCGCCCGCCCCCCGCCCAAGAGAACATCGTGTGCCCCACCCCCACCCTGCCTCCACCCCTGAGGACGCCTCATTCCACCGAAATGTGTCTTTCCGAAAGCAAAGTGAGGCTGGGAGTGAGCAATTCCACACCTAGGAACGTAATCGTGCAGAAATCTAGCACACCCATCCACGGAAGCACAGATCTGCAAGCCCGCGCCTTGAGGTGTGGTCTGTAAGAGGAAAGAGACGGAGACAACCTAGGTGTCCATCGCTGGGGGATCGACTGTGCCCACTCCACAGGATTCTGTGCAGCCATGAAAAGGGTGACGTCTGTGTGTTGATTATTCAGGACGGCAAGACACATCATTATCTCATCACGAATGCACATTTCTGTTTATGTCATTTTAAAGTGACATAAACATAGAAGCATGGACTTCATTGGTTATCACAGGGTTAAGTGGATGGATAGATTCCAAGTGCTCAGAATTCTGTCCGGCGCCACACAGTAGCATAGTCAGACGCTCTTGTGGACGTTGGTATCGCTGGTGTTTAGTTCTTAATCTGGCCGTATCTAAGCTTTCCTGATAACTTTCAAAGCTTAGGAAAGACTGACGATTAGCCTCCCCACCAGCCTTTCTTGTACACGTGGATTCTTCATAGAAAAAGCTTCCTACTCCTATGGGGCATGCCACTTTTCCTGTGATGACATCCCTCCACGGATCCATACCTGGGGCCACAACTYGTCTTGACTTGCTGGGGACCATCCAATTTTAAAATTCTGTGACAGCCTGGGAAAATCAGGACAGTGGAGCCCTCTGTGGAGGCCCTTGATGACCTGGAGGATTTAGAAAAAATACAGACTAGCAATCGTTAACTGCTTTTCATGTATACTTGGGGCAGGGGGCGGGGGAAATCCCCTATGTGTGGTATATCAGATTGGAATACTAGTCAGCCCTGAAAAGGAAAGCACACCTGCTACCACACGGATGGAATTTGAGGACATTCTCCTAGGCAAGACAAGCCATGCACAAAAAGACAAATCCTGCAGAGTAAAGCAAAATCCCCAGGGTAGTCATAATCGCCGAGATAGAATGTACAACCCTAGTTGCTGGGGGGCCCAGAAAAGGAGGGTGGTCAGCCTCTGTGTGCCAAAACAAAAAGAGCTCTGGGCGTGGGTGGCACATACAGCAAGCCCGTTCCAGATACCACTGAACCCRTGCCTACAGATGGTGAGGGTGGACATTTTTATGTTACATGTTATTTTACCAAAGCTGCTAGCGGATGGTGTCATGGCCACTGGGAGCCAGCTTCTCACTCGGACACCAGCCAGGAGACGGAGGGCAAGGCCTCTTCCCCAGGGCTCTTCCCACTCTGCGCTCTACAGAACGTCCCCTGGGTCGAAAACCCTCCACATTCAAGTCAAGTTGGGCCTTTGCATGGCTTTCCCTGGTTCACGATGTCCGGAGCATCTGACATGAAGTCACAGCTAACGTTGACCCAGGGCTTCCTCTCCGCCAGGTGCTACGGCCCGGGTCTTAGGTGCACGGTTTTGTAGGACACTCCCAACACTCCTCATGGCTCACGCAGATGAAAGTAACTTGCTCCGAGTCTCCGTTTTCCAGAAGAGACCGTGGRGAGCAGAAGAAGAGGAACGTGATAGGGAGCAGTGCTTCTTGTACTGGAAAGAGCGCCCACAGCCTCCCGGAATCCCACTGAGAAGCAGAGTGGAGCTGCACAGACCCGGCTGTGACCCGGGAGGCATCCACTCACTCATCCCTTCTCTGTCACTTGCGGAAGGAAGGTGTCCCACGGCAAAGGGCACCCGCTATGACACTGAGTGCGAGGTTCCAATCCCGGTCTGCACTTTCCCCCACCGAAGGCTTCTCTGAGTCTCAGCCACCCAGTCTGTGAAATGAGCATGGAGTGCACACTGTATCTCAGGTGCAATCAAACACAGCAAGAGTGTGTCGCCAGGCCTAGGACACAGTGGACATCCGACAAGTGGCTGATTTGATGACTYGCACAGTCACCCAATTCAGCTGAGATTCCCGGGTGCTTCCCRGTCGGATTCTGTTAGCATTTATGTATTTATTCCTTATTCCAGCAAAGATTTCCYCACGGCTCTCAAGGTGGCAGGGATGGGTCCCCATGACGCTCGGGGACAGAGGGACTGGMGTGAAATACCACGACTTCTCATCCGATCCGCCAATGTTAGAAGGAAACTCATCAAGAGATGRCTCCCAGGGATGAGCCCTGGGAGCCTCTTTGGCACCAGGAGGAGCGAGCGAGAGAAGTGGGAGTGGAGGGGAGGGCAAGGGACTGGAACCGGGTAAAATGTCAACAGATYGGGAGCTGCTAATTATCCAGAGAGAACTAAATATTATGCAGGCAATTATCGACAGGCGTCGGAAAGCAGCGCAGGGGAACTTGGTCCCCAGCCCAATTCCGTGTCCTTTTGGAGGAGGGCTGGGAGGCGCCCCGGCATTCAGAGCAGCTCTTGACACCCAGGGGGAGCGGGTAGCAGGGGTCCCCCGGCCCCACCAGGCCAGCCAATCCAGCAAGGTCCGGGGCCGGGCCCACAGTGCTGGGCTTTGAAAGGGGGCTTTATCCCCGACTCCAGGCCCGGAGCCCGCGGCCCCTCCCGTCCCCCTCCCTCCCCCAAGATGTCATCTTTTGAGACGATTTCATGTGGAAGCATCGCTAAGTAAATTCGCTAAATGCCTATTCATCCCCGTCAGATGGGGACTCGGTGAAGCGGTAAATGTGAAAATAGCCCCAGCTCYGGCCTGAAAGGCGCTTTCCGGGGTTGCCAAATGGAGCTGCTGCAGCGCGCCTGACCCCCGGAGGCAGGGAGGCTTGGCGCGAGGGGGCCCCCGGAGCCCTGCCGGCCCCTCAGTCCTCCCACCGAGGGGCCCTGTTTATTATTCCGGCCGCCGGGGACCCATTCAGAGGTTAACTTGTCCCGCATTCATCAGGACGACAATAATGAACTGTCGCAGAGAGTGACGAGGGGGTTGGTAAATAGGGGCTGCGGAGGCCCAGACSGAGAGGGGGCCTCTCCGTGGCTGGGAAAGAGACATGGTTGGATTTTTTTTTTCAACATGGGTTGATTTAGGGCCTCTTCTCCCGGGCGCTCCTTCAAGACCCTGTCCTTGGGCCAGCGACARGTACCCAGGTGCAGGCACCGCGGGGCTCCCCCCTGGCGGGCACGGGCGCTGGTTCAAGCCGGGGGTGCAGCGCTCGCTGTGCGGCACCTGGGGTCCTCCTGCGCGTCCCCGTGGGGTGCCCCTGCGCGTCCCGGGTGCGCCCGCGTCGCCACCGCACAGCCCAGCTCCGCTCTGCGCCCCTGGGACCCAGTCACCTCTGCGCAGACCCGCGGGGCTCTCCTGGCGCCCGAGAAGGGTGGCTGGCCATGGGTGTTTGGTCACGGGATGGGACACCCGGCGGCAGGCTCATTTTCACTGCGACAGCGCCTAACGGCTCCGCGCCACCCACCCCTGCCGGAATTAGGAGTGGGTCAACACGCGGCGTCCAATGAGAGCGCAGAGGCTCCGAGTGGCGAGACTGCGGAGTCACGGGGAGGGGCAGGAGGGGGCCGGGCGCACGGAGCCGGGCAGGGTGCCTGGTGTGCACGTAGAGTGCGCCTACTGTGTGCCCTTCCCAGGCACCCGGTTATTCACTCCGTGTGTATGGGGGAAGGGCCTACTATGTGCAGGTTGAAATCAGCCGCCACCCAGAGAGGCTCAGGAGCTGCTCCCTGCACACAGCRGGCTGAGCCCCAGGGCTGGGCTCTCCTTCCAGATCCTTCTGTTTCTGGAGCCTGGGCATCACTTTCTAAAGCGCTGTCAAGCTTCTGCAAAGTCTAGCCTCCGTTCCTCGTTCCTTGTCACCGCCTACACCGCCTCTCCCCGGGTCTGAGACAATGGTTAACCCCTTCCTTCGAAGTAAAACTCGGAGCCCGCTGATGAAGGGGCTGTCACATCAGCGCCGCCGCCGTTTACCTGTTTGGGTTTATTCAGCGGAAGAGGCGACTGCGTCTCTGGCAGATGGAGACCTGTGTGACTGCCTTTTAAAATACTGTCACAGCTGTATGCACAAGCTGATTAGCTGTGACTACACTGCTGGTGCCGAGATTGATGGCGATAAATTTGGGATAACAATGCCGGGAACGAAGGCCTCCGTTTGTACCGCACAGCGGAGGGTTTGAAAGCTCCCTCCTCCCTCCTCCCTCCGGTAGCCCCGYGGTGACGCGGTCTCCATGACCGTCACCAGGTGTCAGTCCAAACGCAACTCGTGTCCATTCGTTCCTTCATTCATTCAACAAACACTGAAGTAGCTCCTACTGTGTGCCATCGATGAACAATGACCAGGGGCTGTCCTTGGGCTGCTCACCTGGTATGGTTAGCAAGCTCAGAGTATCCAGATGGTGACAGAATGTGAGGGGGGGGGGGTGTGCTACTTGAGGTCAAGTGACCAGAAGAGGCCTCCCTGAAGAGGTGACATTTGAAAAACCTGGTTGAAAAGAGCAGGCAGCACTGGGAAGATAACACGGCCAAATTTCTCAGGGACAGCGAATGCAAAGGTCCTGAGGCCGCCCTGTGTTTGGCATCAGGCTGCACACTGATGGTTGCCAAGCCCAGGGCTGAGCCCTGGAGATTCTAAAACATGTCACACGCAATGACTGGCTGTCCTCCAGGGGTTCCCAGGACAGTGGAGTGTGTGGGACAGAGCTGCCCAGACAGGYGTTTCAATGCAGGGGGTGGGGTTGTCCAGAGAGCGCCTCACCAGGCTGGTGATCGGGGAAGGCAGGAGGAGCTGGGCGACACACAGCGAGACTGTGGATTCTGAGGCCCAGAAGGGAGCCAAGACCCCAAGTCTCCATAGCCGACCGACCCCCCCCCCGCCCCCCGGAGGACCCTGACTTTCCTCTCTGTTTATTTCCACAGGACGAATGACCAGTTGGTGGCATTTCTCTCCCGGTACCGAGACATGAAYTTCCTGAAGTCACATGGCCGGGACAATGCAAGGTAGCCCATGGTCCCCTCCCCCTGTGCAAAGCAGAAATGGGAAACCTGATCATTTGGGGGCTTCCTCCGAGGCTGGTCCTGATGATGAGATAAGTTGAGGCTGGGGGAGGGGGAAGGCCATGTTCATCTTCGGGCAAGATGGGAAGTGGCCCCTCCTGTCAGCCAAGGGACAGAGAGAAATGGAAATGTGCCTCCTGTCACAACCCTTTTCTCCCCTGASCGTTTTCCTGCCTCCTGGTCTCCGATGGCAACCCTTTGAGTAGGGCCCATCAGCCAGAACTGACTTAGTCTTGAGCGCCCCCTGTAGGAGAAATCTGAGTTCTGCCGTGGAACTCCGCACACCTGGCAAGTCAGGGTCCTGGTAGCTTGTTAACTGGCTGTTTGACCCTTTTGGTGTATCCTTTGGCTTTGTTTTAATTCAGGTGTTTCCTTCGAAAATTAACAGCTCTATTGAGAGACCGCCATAGAGCCGGGCAGGGGATGCACGCCTGTCATCCCAGAGACAGGGGAGGCCGAGGCAGGAGGATCACGGGTTTGAGGCCAGCCACGGTCATTTAGGGAGGGCCTAAGAAACTCAGCAAGACCCTGTTTCAAAATTTAAAAATAATAAGAAGAAGAGAAAAAAAAAGAAAGACAGCAAAATTTCCCATGAAAATCCAGATTTCCAGCTAGTCTTGAACACCCTGAAGGTCCCTAACACTGTGCCTGAATGTTCTCAGGTAGGTATTACTGAGAGCTAGACAAAGCCCATCCTCATCAAACCACCATGGTCCCCACCTGTCTACCTGCCCAGCCTGGCCCTGCAAGGCTGCCATCTCTGCTTCAGATCTCTCTGCTCCTGCTAGTGCGGTATCCTTTGGCTGGTCCTGTGACTCAGTTTACCTGGTTGTCCCAAGGGTGGGACGAAAGTGAGCAATGACCTCCACGCCCCACGGCTTCAGGACATTGTTCCAAACCCCTGTCTCCTTGTCCTGAACGTTAACTTTGATTGCATTTGGCCGACCGTGTGCCCCTTCTCCCTGGCTGCTCCTCCCTGCCTCCATTACTAAAAGGAGCCCCCAGACTCAAAGGTGCTCCGTCGGCCTCTAGCTTACAGGTCCCTAGCTGCTCAGGCCCCTGGGGGTGGAGAGGCTGGGCACAGAATGATAGCCACTGTGACCGCTGTGCCTACTGGGGTCCCTCCCTCTGGGCCCCTTCACCCATTCATTCCTAATTTCATTCAATGCAACRGTAAGAATTATTGCCCTCACTTTCAGGGAATGAAGGGGGAGCTCTGGGAGCTGACATGATCGTCCCTAAGGTCACCAGCTGGTTGAAGGACAGAATGTGAACCCAGGTCTTTCTGGCCCCAAAGGTAGAGCGAGGGGCCATTCCACAGAGGAGGGCGGTTACAGAAGTAGCCCCAGAACTGGTGTCCCCTCCCCTAGGTACAGAASGAAAACCCTTCCTCCTGTCCATGCAGCTTGGAGTATGCAGTCTAGGCCAATGAAGTAGCCTCGTGGGCAGGAGCCCATTCTAAGTTGACCGGTTCATGTCTACATTACATCCCCCCTAATACTGTTGCGGTGGCCCAGTTGGTATTCATTCCCTGTGAGCACTATCCGCCAGAGTCTCTGCTAGGAACTGGGTTAAAATCACAGGCTTTGAGGTTCCCCTTTCTCAGCTGGGAGTCTGATCTAGTATGTCCTCGCTGGGTTGCACTGGACAAGTGACTTAACCTGTCTGAACCTGTTCCCTTACCTGGACAGAGAATATCCATAGGCCTACACCTATAGGGTTGGGGAGACCAAGTGAGATGTGGCCTGTAAGGCATTTGGCACAGTAAATACCAATCCAATGAAGATGATGGTGGTGATGGTGGTGACTGTGGTGATGATGGTGATGGTGATGATGATGGTGGTGATGGTGATG